GGGTGTGACCAGCCCCAGAGATGGGGCCCTCCCGACAACGTGGCCGGCAACTAGGGGCGATATATAGATATATATATATATATATATTATATATATATATATATATATATATATATATATATAATTGAACAAAAGTGGCTAAGCAGCAATTTTATGAACCATAGAACATCTACAACTTTCGTCAATATTGAACCGTCTTCTACAGCTCGGCTAGAGTTTCTTCCGCTCTGAACCCGTATCAACACGACATTAATCTAGGAATCATCTTCCAGCATGAGTTCACCACTACAAACACAAACATACGGGCTCACAGGCTCCAGGGACACAGGCACCAGCGGCACAGGCGCACGGTCTCCCGACCCCGACGTGATCTACCATTCAGCAGCCTCCGGCCGATCACACTTTCTAACCCTACGTCATCTTCATTAACTAGCCGACCACAAACATGAGGAGGGCCTCAACCTGAACGGGTGAGAACAGCTGGTCGCAGCCGCCCCAAGCAGACTCGACACCCACACGGCACTACAAGCAGAAAACGGGACCAAGCGGTACCAGCGGGCCGCCACGTCAGTCATGTATCCCACACTTCACAGTCTCACGTAATGCAGGACACGGCACTTCAGCTCCACCGACCTGGACACCTGCCCCGATCCTCGGTAACACGGCACTTCAGCCCCACCGACCTGGACACCTGCCCCGATCCTCGGCAACACGGCACTTCAGCCCCACCGACCTGGACACCTGCCCCGATCCTCGGCAACACGGCACTTCAGCCACCGACCTGGACACCTGCCCCGATCCTCGGCGGCAACACAGCACTTCAGCTCCACCGACCTGGACACCTGCCCCGATCCTCGGCAACACGGCACTTCAGCCCCACCGACCTGGACACCTGCCCCGATCCTCGGCAACACGGCACTTCAGCCCCACCGACCTGGACACCTGCCCCGATCCTCGGCAACACGGCACTTCAGCCCCACCGACCTGGACACCTGCCCCGATCCTCGGCAACACGGCACTTCAGCTCCACCGACCTGGACACCCCCCGATCCTCGGCAACACGGCACTTCAGCCCACCGACCTGGACACCTGCCCCGATCCTCGGCAACACGGCACTTCAGCCACCGACCTGGACACCTGCCCCGATCCTCGGCGTTCAGCAGAACTGTCACCCGGAAACTGGTGTTGCTGTATGGTATCGTGAGCACCGCCCGGTCGCGCACGGCGTCTGGCTCGCACGTGGCATCAGCACTGCAGTAGTCCTCCACGTGGGTGCGCGAGCCCCTGAATCCTGCCATGTTGACAGACAGCTGGTGTGAGCCAAATACAGTGGATAGCAAGGGAAACAGATCCATGCTCATCTTGGTCATAGACAGGTGTGATGAGTGCTGGTTTTCTTTGCTTGCACTTTTTTGTGGCCATAATGGGTATGATACCAATGAAAAGGGGAAAAAACAATACATGGTTCTGATATGTAAAATTCCTGTCTTCATTTATGACAGTGATTAAAAGTGGAAGGTCTTGGTAGTGAATCATTGATGAAAACCTGGGAGAATATATATAACATGCTTACCCACATGCTAAGAGACAGTTCACTGAACAAGGAGTTTCCTCCATGACATGTCATGTACTCATAGAATGAGCTTCAGAAGGCCCTGAAAGAAAAGAACATGTCTTCATCATTTTCCAACAACACCTTGTCCTTACATATACTTTTTCTAGGAGGGGGGGGGGGGGGGGTAAAAAACACAATAACATATCCTTTACAGATAATTTGTCCCTCACTGATAACCTCTCTTCTGTCCGTACTGATATGCTGCGCCTCTACTGATAATCTGTCCCTTACTGATTGCCTGCCCTCATGAATAGATCAGGGTGGGTGGACCAGGATAAGGCACTCCAACCAACTGAGCTATCAGGACAAACAACGCAAGTCTCCAACTTGATGCAACTTGACTGCAAGTCTCCACATTCTCAGAGATAATGGCTCTGGTAAGTTGAAGAAAGGCAAAGCATACAAGGCAATGCAGGCAACATGATGCCCACATGGATGCCGGCCCAAAGATAGGCTAGCTGGGACCTTGGAATATGGCTGTGGCTGCGCACTAATGGACCATATTGTGGCAGCAGTGGACAGATGCCCATTTCTTGTGGAAGTGGGGATTGGTCCGCTGCTGTAAACAGCTATCTATTCTATCATCAGAAGTTTTTTCAGACTTTCCCAACAATGAAAGCAGCTGCTGTTTGATCCACCATCATGTGGCCTTGATGTCTCAGTATCATGCCATCTGTGTAACAGACAAACAACCTCTGCTGGACCATTAGCATCTGGCAGTTGTATGTGACATGGTTCTTATGGTTATATATGGTTATATAGTACGGGTATGGTGGGAGCAGGTCTCAGTGATTGACCAACCACCATTACCAAATTGAATACTTGCAAATTCGTAATTTCTAGATTTCCAAGCTAGTGCCTTCCTTCCAAGTCCTCTGCTGCACCTACTGTATTATTAGCTAGGGAACTGATGGAAAAGTTGTTGATATTCATTCATAATTCTATTGTAAGGTGTCAGTCCCCATAAGGGCTGATAGAATGTAATTGTGAAGTTCCCTATTTTGCTGGATAGAATAACCCCTCCCCAACTTTGAGAATACAATTTGATCAAAATCAAGCAGAACATGGTTTGCAACCATTTCTTTGGGATACAAGATTTCTCTGCTCACCCGCTCCACAAAGCTATGTACAAAACTACAACCACCTGGGACGTCAGGCTGCTGCGTGATCGGAGCTCGGGGCCAGCGCAGCAGGGGCGGAGGAAATATTTTCTCCTCACAGAGCAATCCAGCCGCATAAAGTTCGCATCACCACATCTACTCACTGGCTTTAAGTCTGATACAATACTTTTCTCAGTGTATGAGTAGGCTAAATTTATATATTGTCTTTATCTACACCACCAACCAGAAGCGCTACCACCGCCCCGCGCGCGGCTCCTCCAAAACGAGGTCG